TGCTCCTGCCCCTTCTTTTAGTTAATAATAACTGAGAGTTCGAGGACTGTTGCCTGGAACCAAAAAGGGAGGATATTTTTTGGTCAATTTGACTTCACTGTATGAACATTCTCAGGTTGGTTCACTAATATACTTTTAATTGTATCACTTTAGAAACTATGAAAAGAAGAAGACAGGAAAAAGTCAAATTTTTCAGTAAATTAAGTAATCCTATTGGAAAAAACGGTGTAGGTTTTCTGTTTAAATGGATGAGGGGACACAATATTTTCTGATTTAGTTTAGGAAAAGTAAAAAGGGAAATTTTAAAGGTATTTTTTAGAACCATTGTTTTCTAAATGGCATGAAGACTCAGTTTTTTCAAAGTACTTCAGTGCTAAATACCAATAATATTTTGCATTTCTGACAGTATTCAGCTGAAGATACCAAATTTTTGCCAAGTTTGACATGGGGAAAATCCTGATCCTACAAACTCTTCTGCTTAAGCAAAAGAAGTTAAACAAACTTATTAGGTAACTTTTTAATGGACTTATTGGGCTACCGAGTCTGAAATGTCAGCTTTTTAGAATTGTTTCAGACAGGTTATTTCAAGTTTTCAAAAAACCCACAGCCAACAATACTATGAGTAAGAGCTGTACATCTCTGAATAGTATATATATTTATTTGTATAGCACAGAATGAAGACTTCTCTATGATTCAGTTACTAGTGTATTTAAGCATAATAGCTTGGTAATCTTAAGGTCTATTTACATAATTCCGCACACCTGCAAGTTCTTGGAACATTTCTTTAACCTGTCGGACACACACCATCAGATAAGCAATATATTGTGTGTGTCAGCGTGTTATTCTAAAACATTTAATATGAACTTTAGTATTTCTGAATCTTGTTCCTTCATGTGAGAAAGTCCTGTATTATTCAGCAAGTTCTTTACCAGGCATTTCCACAACGTGTGTTTGTTTTACCTCTACAAAACCCACTAGTTTTGGACAATGCTTTTTTGTTTTAAAAATCAGTTGAACCAGTAATAAGTTACCAATTTTTAAATAAAGCTAGCTTGTGAGCCAAGAAAGAATACAAGAAATTTCATCAGCGTTTAAAAGGCAAATGATTGAACTGTGCATTAAGAATGGAAAGTCATTCATAACTCTGCATCATATGACTAAAAGCTGAGCTTGACTATTTATAGCTAAGCACTGTCAAGAGCAATATGTGTTGATGAGAGAACCTGACTCTTAGTACATTCCTAGATTAGGTGCATGTTAATGAGGCCTGTACAGTGCAAGAAGATGGATGAAGAGTGAAGATAATATTCAGAAGCCAGAAACATGTTTAAATTGCTTGCAGAAAATATAAAATTGAAGACAAAAGGAGCTAAAGTAGGTAAAATTTTCGGTTTCTAGCTACTTGTAAAGCAACTCTGCTTTCTGTAGAGACATAAAAATGTATACTTATAGTGCTTTAAAGATTGATTTCTAACAAATAATTATAATTAATATTTTATAATAGTAATTAATTACCACTAATAAACAAACCCCCTGTTAAGTAAACTATGAGGAATACATTTAGAGTGTATATTTTTCTGAAGCCATTTTTTTAAACAATGGCAAGAAAGCAAGTACTTTTCAAAGGGGCTCAGTTCCAATAAAATGCTGAAACCAAGCTTTTAGGTTTGCTTCTGTTTTAATCTGTCCTATATTAAGGATAATTTCAGGATAACTGCCAAGCACCAAGGCATTTGATGCTTAGGGTTGTGTAAATTCTTAAAGCTGGGTACAGAATCACTTTTATGGTGCCCATCATCTGGATGGGATGCAGCTTTACAAGACTATTTAGATCAGCCTGGGAATCTGACCAAAAAGATGTGTATTCGGGGCTGAAGATATATCAGAAGATAGCTCAATGGGTCATTTGATCAATCTTCTGGTCATCAATTTTATTCAGAAAAAAATCCTTAGTATGCAGAGAGTTCTTAATTTCTGACCATCCCTGTAGAATAACAGTGTATTTTCATAGGATGAAAGATTAAAAAACCAAAATAATACAGGTTTTTCTAGGTTAATGGATTGTGGATATCCTGTTACAACATGTATTCTTATCATACACTACCTCCTGTAACTGCAGAGTGTAGCAATCTGTTTTACTTCCACTTGAAAGTGAAAGAACAACTGTATTCAAAAATTGGCACGACAGGGCAAATTAATAATATCTCTGTTTTCTTAAGTAGAGACAGGCTTGTGTGTAAAGTTTAGATCTAGATCTGAGTTTACCTACAATTTAGTGAGGGACAGAAGAGCACTGGAGTTCTGCAGACCGGATGCAGAACTTCAGCTGAGATATTTGGGAGAAGGATGTTGTGGATAGATACATATCTCAGATTCAAATACCTTTGTGTTTCAGGATGCATTCAGAATTTGGGTGTTGCCTTGTGCTAGTTCCATATTTAAACTTCCTCTGTGGTAAAACAATAACTTAGTTTGAGATTTTGGTGAGTGAAATAAAGAGAATTCATGGCTTTTGAAAAAGACAAGGTAGTGAAAGCTATGTTTATAGAGAGAAAAACATGCACAGAACTCGTGAAAAGAGGATATGAATTTTGGAAAGCTGTGACTACAGTTTCTGCAGCCCGTAAACCACAACATTTCCTTCATGTGTTCAAATGATACAGCCAAGAGACAGTGATTGTGCAGCGTGCTCTCTCCCTGTGCCAGGTCACTTTCTGAAAGGGAAAGCAGCCTGAAGTTACTCATCAAGAAGGGCAGTTTCATGGCTAATCCTAAATGCTTGGATATGGTACAAAGAAAGGATGGGCATGGGTGATGGTATCAGGGCAGTCCAACAGCGGCAGGAGTGCCATGCACATTGTCAAAAGTTTACTGGTCAGAGATCTGATCAGCTCAACAGGTTCTTGTGCCTACATTCATCTTCTCGCTCTGCGTGCACATAACGGCGGTGCCCAAATTGCCATCACTTATCTCCTAGCTCCTAACTGCAATACTTAATGAGCACACTGTGAACACTCCCTCCCTATACAGTCAGTAGAGAGACAGAAGGCAGAATTTCAGTGTTAGGCCAGTAGGGTGTTATTCTGGGCTGCCTACAATGTCTGAAGTCAGGTGAGATAAAGTTAAGCTTGTTTGAAATTACTATTTTGCTTGTTTCATACACCCCTCCTTGTTGCAAGAAGTTACTTCCTAAAGTTTTTCATGATTGTAGCAACACAGAAATATTAGCTACCCTGATCCATTTTTTTCTTTCATTAAGTTTGTCTACAGGAAGCTGGTCATACACAAAGGCTTTAATTTATATTCTTGGTGTTTTGTTACTAAAGAGATAGTTACACTGGGAATGAAGATTGTTTTATATTGAAATGTGTTTCATTAGGTTATTTAATGGATAGTTTTGGTGGTACCACATGACAATTCCCAAGAAAAGGGAATATTTTTACTTAATATACTATGTATAAACACCTTCCAAGCCTGTATGGTAATTGCTCATCATTATGTCTGAAGCAATGGTCTTTTGGCAGAATCTTAATGACTGTTATTCCACTGGGCAAGAAAAGGCTCTGGTATTCACTTACTGAGTTATTGTCTTAATTCTTTGTGTCTGGATGATCACAGAGAACATTATTAATAATAGATTGGTAATGAAGGATAAGAGGCTCTATTCATCAAAGACTTTATCCAGAGGACATCTGAACTGGCTTGCTGGACTGATTGTTTTGTGCAAGTGATAGTGTCATTTTTACAGCAGATGCCTAATAGCTGCCACTGAAGAATCACTGAAGTGCATTGTGCTCAGAAAGATGTATGCATTGTACCATCGTTGCAAATCGTAAAAATAAATGTATAGAGTACAAATACATTTTCATAGATGAGACTGCTTTCAAGCAACTAAAGATGCGATATGATTTAATTTCATTACATGTCTAGTTACTCCTTGCTTTCTAAATGCAGATGAATTGGAATAGAGAAAAAGTTTGTAACAGAAGATAACATAAGAAAGACTCTAAAAGGTTTTGGAAGTATTTGTATTGCAAAGAGTTCTTCTATCATGCATTTAGTTGACATAGCTGTGGCTCCTGGATTTTTCTGAAGGGGAGATATTTTTCATCATCTTTTGAAGTGCCTTAAAATAGTTGACCTTTTATATATCCACTATTTGCTTTTCTACAGCCCGAAATGGGAGAGATTTTTTTCTGATGTTCTGCAAACAGCATTATTTTTTCCTAGATATAGCCATTTATGAGGAACTCAGAGGGGGAGTACATCTTATGGCAGGAGGGGTTTGGAGAAAGTATGGAAAAGTCAGGCAGCCGCAAGAGTGCCCCATTTACAACTTTTCTTTAAGTTGTGCTATAAACCATTTCTCATTTTCCTGGAGACCCAATGTGTTAAACTCCATGTTGGGATGGGACAGGATACAGAAGGAGGCATGTGATGGAGAACTCACTGACGTAACCACATGGGGCACGTGCTTGGTATATTGATCATGTTACAGAGAAGATCTGAGGTGCTGCATTTGCCACTGATTGTCAGGGCCTAATTTCAATGAAGGGACAAAGAAGATAAGGGCTACAATTCAAGACCATTGCATCCTTTTTTTTTTTTCCCAGGACTCCAGGCCTGAAATACAGCTCACACAGAGATCACGGAATCACGGAATTGTCAGAGTTGGAAGGGACCTCTAGAGATCATCTGGTCCAACTCCCCTGCTAAAGCAGAATTGCCCAGAGCACATTACTCAGGACTGCATCCAGGCAGGTCTTGAAAATCTTCAGCGAAGGGGACTCCACAACCTCCCTGGGCAGCCTGTTCCAGGGCTCTGTCACCCTCACCCTAAAGAAGTTCTTCCTCATATTTAAATGGAACTTCCTATGTTCCAGCTTGTGCCCATTGCCCCTCATGCTGTCACTGGGAACCACTGAAAAGAGTCCAGCTCCATCTTCTTTCAACCCACCCTTTAGGTACTTATAAGCATTAATAAGGTCCCCCCTCAGCCTTCTCTTCTCCAGACTAAAGAGTCCCAGCTCTCTCAGCCTTTCCTCATAAGGGAGATACTCTAATCCCTTAATCGTCTTTGTTGCCCTATGCTGGACTCTCTCCAGTTTCTTGCTCTCTCCAGGTTATTGCTGTAATCACCAAGGAAGTGTATTTGCCTACATAACTACAGAAGGTGAGAGAAATTGTAGTGATCTATTGCCAGTGAAATCCAGGAGCTAAGGTAAGATCTACCAAATAAGTAAACCTCACACTAATATTCAACAGTTCTACAGTTCAGTTTTAAGAGCCCTTAGTTTTAAGACACATCCTCCCCTCACTATTAGCTTACACAGAGGGCATCAACCACTGGGAATGAACTCAGTCTTGTGAAGCCAGCAGCAAGGAGAACAGTAAAGAAGTATTACTAACAGAACAAAGCAGAGGAGAGCAGTGTGGTGGGTCTCAGGTCATCAGGAGTGTTGGATTTACAGTAGCATGTGGCATGAGCAGCAGTTGACTTTGGAGATCATAATGGAGAATTAAGATGAGACAACGACAGTAAATACATTTTACTATTTTTCATGGTGTGTGCAGTCACTGAGAACACATATGCTTACAATGAACCTGAAACTTCCATCAAATATGAAATTTGTATCCGAAGACTTAATGTGCATAAGAAGAACTCAGTCATTCAGTCAGCAGGATTGTGGATTCCATGGAAAAGACATCCCTGCAATATAGACAGGCACCTGTCCAGTCTGGGACTTCCCCAGTGCCTGCCAGTGACATCATCCTGGGAGCTTGATACAGTTTTATATCCTAGCTATTTCATTATTTCCTTTTTCATTTTAATATTAATATTTCATTAAAGTAGTTTAGCTCATTCTAAACTCGTAAATCTCTTTATGTCTCCCCTTTTTTCTCCTGGAGCGAGAAAGTGGGGGGACACCATCTGTTGCTGTCATAGGCCAATTCGGCCTAAAGCATGACAACCTGTTTCAGCCACTGAAGGAGAAAACACCAAGACTGAAAAGAAGCAGCATCATTAGATCTACTGAAACTAGGACAGGGTTAGTCAGTGGCTAACAGTGCTCAAAAAGTTCAGAGAAACCAAGGACATCAGGACGGAGAATAACACACACTGCTAGTCAAACTATCCAGTCACTCCCCTTGGGTGAATATTGCAGCCCAGAATGTGTTGGGCTGGAGGGGACCTTTAAAGGTCATGTAGTCCACCCCCCTGCAGTAAGCAGGGACATCTTTAACTAGATCAGATTGCTCAGAGGATCTGAATGATTATGTGATTTGCTGGTGTAGATTCTTGGTCTTCAAGTATAACTGATGACATTCTTTTCATAGGAGAGAGAGAACGATTAGGAAAGGAATGATTTAAGAACATGTCAGTAAGCTTCAATTATTTCTAAGCAGCTTTATTGCAGAATATTAACTTGAGACAGAGACTGGGGAGATCTGAGGCCCGAGTGCCAGAAGTCAAAGATGTGCATGAAATACACTCAACTTGTCATTAAATATGAATACCTCCATCAGGCAATAACAGGGGGTCTTCTGCCAACACTCTTTCAGAACAAATGAAAGGCTTACATTGTCAGAAAATGTCTCATTTTTTTCCAGCTATATGAATTGCAAAAATAAAAGATGTTGTCTCTCATTACAAACCATGACACCTTGAGGCCACGTAAGAAAATTCTCCATGACTGAAATATTGGTAAGTACATTTTGTGAAATTTATTCTGTTGGTAGTCATTGATTTTTAATTGTATTTCCACAGTACCTCTGAAATGAAAACATTAGGGAGATAGTTCTTTGCAAATATGAATTTCGGCTCCCCACACCTTTGCATCATCTTCCTGGCATACTTGGGAGAGGCTAAGCTGATGGTTAATGAGAAGAAAGAAGTGTATGAACCAGAGTATTGACAAAAATAATTGACAAATGGTCTCTAGTCAGAGCCCCGGAGGGGTCAGTGCAAAGTTGGTGCTCCTCCATGGTACTGAAATAAACATCACAAGACTGAAGTGATCAGGAAATACAGTCTTGCTAGTTTCCTTAAGAACAAAGAGCTCATTGTCTCCTTAAGTGATTTTACTAATTTCTTGAGACAAAGTAGGTCTTGGTGCAGGTCTCTGCCTATGTATAATGCTCTAAGTCTGCAGAAAAATATAGCAATATATGTCAGTCCTCAGAAAAACAGTTGCATCGTCCTGCTGTGCCCCCTTGTACACACAAGAATTAGGACTCCCAGAGGTAACAATTAGATATGAATATCTGTAAGTCTAAAATATTCTCTTAGTCCCATGGCTTTTCTTCACACCTTTTCCAGCAGTATCTTTCCATACTCTTTTTCCAGCTACATCCTGAGATTTTGTTTCTAGAGCTGTAGAGGAGACAGACAGCATCCCCATCAAGTTTGTGGACCACACCAGATCAAGGGGGCTGTTGAATACACTGGAGGTTTGGGCTGCTCCTCTGACAGGCTGAAGGGATGAACCAACTGGAACCTTGCGAATCTCACGAACCTCAGCAAAGAAAATTGCTAAGTCCTACACCTAGGAAGGACAAACCACTGGCAATGATACAAGCTGGAGGACTCGCAGGCTGTGAGGAGCTCTGTGCAGAAGAACCTGAAGGTACTGGCAGTCACAAAGCTGAACATGAGCCAGTGTGCCCTGGCAGCAGAGAAAGCATCCTGAGTTGTATTAACAGGAGCACAGCTTGTAGACTGAAGTAAGTATTTATCTCCCTCTACCAGCATCTGTTAAATCATACCTAGTTAGTACATGTTTTGGGCTCTTCAAAACAAAAGACAACAATAAACTCAAGCAAGTTCAGCAAAACATCACTGTGGTAGGGAGGCTGAAGGACCTGCCCTGTGAGTGGAAGCTGAAGGAATGGGGTTTGTTCAGCCTGGAGAAGAGATGGCTTCAGGGGACTGAAAAGCAGGCTTCCCATACCTACAAGGAGGTGATTGAGGAGGTGGAGCCAGGATCTTCGTAGCAGTGAATGGTGGGAAGCTAGGAGACAAGGGATGTCAGTTGAAATGAGAGAAGTTCAGAATGGTTGTAAGGAAAGCCATTTTCCCCATGAAGATAGTGAAGAAGTGGGACAGGAGCCCAGAGAGGCTGTGTAGTCATCATCATCCTTGAAGGTTTTCAAGATATTATGGAATAAACACCTGAACAACCTGGTCTGATCCCATAGCTGACCCTTGTTTGATCAAGAGGTTGGACTAGACAGCTTCTGAACGTCCCTTCTATCCTGCATTATCCTCTGACCCTATGAAATTATTTCTGAAAACTTTCCTATTCACTCCCCTCCTTGGGTGACTTGAAGACGGTTTAAGGAGGGTAAGAAGAGAGATACGGCATACTAATGTTTTATTTCAGTTAATTACATTAAGATCTTATGATTAGGAAAAGGGAAGTGGAAGTAGCAGAAACTACAGGAAGAGAAAGCATGGGGCAAAGTATCTTGGAGCAGAGTCTGTAAAGAGTTATTCATGTGAGCAAGGACTGCCATGATTAGTGTACAATTGTAATGGAACTCCATGCTTTACAAGATCAAAATAGTGAAGTGCTCCATTACGGCAATTATCTATCAAAGAGTGAAAGCAGAATAGCTGAAGTTACTAAAATACTTCTGTGTTCATTAGCCTCATTAGGTTGCATATGTGTTATAGGGCACTATATGCTAATGCTGTACCTGAAAAACAGGTATGGCAATGATAGAAAGACAAATTATAAGGAAGCCAACCCATGTTCAGCCATTACAAATCCAAGTACATGATCAGCCTACAAATACCTACTGTGGTCAACTTCCAAAACCCTTTCAATCTGATCCAAGTTATGAGGGGGTTGAGGTCATGCAGCATCTTTCTCGAGACGTGACAGATCAATAATATTCTACTCAGAGCCAAGTCTGAACAATTTTGATTTTTAACTTAGGGAAACAGCTCATCAGTTGACCTTGAAGTTTACTGGAAGGCAAATAAATGATAAAGCATTGTCAAGCATTCTTTGGTGAAAAGCTCTTTATAGTCAAGATTTGTAAACTGAAAGACCCAAATAACTCAGACTGAACTAAACTGCAGCATTTTAACAAGGAAACTTAAAATGTATAGGGATGTGGGTCCCTGCTTTCTATCATAAATGTGTTTTAAGGTTTTGCAATAATTTTTTTATATATATTACATTTTTATATACCTTTTTATTAATTGTTTTTGTAAAAATCCTTTAACTCATCAGCTGCCTGTGGATTCAGACATGTTTTAAGAATTTCACTATTCCCTTGTGTGGCTGAGTCAAGTTTTCAGTATTCACCCATGCGTCTAGGGAGAACAGAAGGTATGTATAGATCTTTACCAGCATAGAATACATTCCCTCCATAGTGGTACTAGTTAACAAGCTATTGTGATGGAGGACTATTACCCAGCTCTTTCTCAAATCCTTCCAGGCAACTCCTTCCAAAGCTCTAGAGTCATTCAACACCTACATTCAGAAGATCTAAGGGTTCTAATTATAACCAGTTCTTCACCGCTGACATAGATGGTGATGAGGAGAAAATGAGATCTCAGTGTGTTTCTTCTGCATTTTATTCACCTGCGGTGAGCGTCAGAGAGACAACTGGCTTTTATTGATTGCATATGGCACTGCTGTCTCAGGATACCAGGAAAAAGTTACATGAATGGCTAATTTGTGTAACAGATTTGTTCTAAATTTGGTACTCATTTCAAGATTAAAGCCTCAGAACACATATCTGCGTGTACAAACTCTGTGGAGTTATTACTTTATGTCAAGAATTAAGCCTGTGTAAGGCTGTTGCTCAGGAAAAATTACACGGTAGCTGGAGAGGAATAAAAACACAACAGGACAGAAATGCATGATAACAGGGAAAAAATGAAGATGCAAAAAGGAATTGGTGGCTTGTGAGGTTAGGGGAATAGGGCTCTATAGCTAAACCCAGCTAGCCTGGGGGAAGAGAAAAATAGAATGAACAAAAATATATAGGAAAGAATCATTGCCCATTAAGTTTTAATATTATTTGGGCAAGAAAGTAGCAATGTTTAATAACTATCCAATTAAACTTCAGTGTATTAACTGGCAAGGGCAAAGATATGTAAGGGGGGAGTTCCTAAATAGCTAGCACATATATTTGCTGTTCTCAACAATGTATTTTCTCCAAGGAGAATTTCAAAATATTACACTGTAATTTCAACAGTCCTCCCATTTCTTGGACCAGATTTTCTTCCTTTTTTTGAATCTCTGCATGCTTTAATAGCTTCAAAAATGTTGCAGAGGGATAGTTAAATTGTGCAGTAGTTACACTTGCAGACAGTACTTAGGAGAGATTTGCAAGCTGGGAGAAAGCAAAACAAAAAGCCCTGAATAAAGAAAGGAAAAATAGCAACAGAGATCAAAGTATGCTTCGGGCAAGCTGTTCTTTATCATTGCAGCAGGTGCAGCAAGTAATGTAGCTTTGCTGTGCAATGAGGATAAGATAGGCTACTGTGCACCAAGTCCCAAAGGGCCTTGGCATATGAGTCTTACCTGAGCAGCACACACTGCCTTGCCACAGCTTACAGGGACTAGAAGATTGTCTTGAGGATGGGGGCCGCAGAGGCTTATCAAATCCCCTTGAGAATTTTCTAGTCACCAAAGTGACTATTTTAGCCTTTAGAGAAATGCAGGTTCTGTGGACTGGCTAAACTATAGGGTGCTTTGGGACAGAAAATTTCTTCTTCCATCCTTTCCCTAGTGTCCGGCTGGGAAATTGCTGATTAGTGAGTGGCTTAAGCTCCAGAACTTCTCATAAATCATATCCTCTGTCCAGAATGTCCAAACGTGATTTTTGAGCCTTGGGCAGCTCATGAGCTACTGGAGTGAAGCTGCTGTGCTGGTACTATGTCATGTGGTGAGTTATGGGGTAGCACTGGCAATGAGTCTGTGTGGTGATCCGACCCCTCAGCCACCAGAGCAATGTGATGGGGACAGACAATCCTGGGCCACAGAAGGATTCAGCTGTCTTTCTCACCCAGCCTCAACTGAGAGAAGGAGGCGGTGGGGTCTTGTGGATCTACTATAACCACCTGTCTGTGGACCAGTGCTGGATGTCCCTTCTCTTCAGCTGTCATGGGGATTGCTCTCTGCAATATGGACATTTTGGTACACTGCTTATCGGCTCTGAAAGATCATGCACATTGAATAGTGTATAGAATAGGTGTTGCATTCGATTAAAAAAACCCCATAATATTGCCAAATTCAATTTTAATTGCATTTATTTGGAAATTAAAAGTAATTAAATGTTGGATGATTAGGATGCACTTTGTAAGAGTAGACTTTTGCATATTATCCAAACGGAAAATGCCAGCGCTTGGACATGTAGCCAATTAGCTGCACAACTCGCAGATATGGGATCAGAGCACTTCACAGAAATCTGTCAGAGTTTATAAATCTATATTCCAGCCACTGCCCTGGTAGCACTCTCTCTATGTTCACAGTCGCAGGACCATATATGCCTAACTTACACTTTTTGAGCCAATATGATGCCAGTGCAGTTTCACATACTCTCAGCAACAGCGTCTGTTGGAGCCAAGGGCTGCAGGTGGCTTTGATTGTGCTCCCTGTCCTGTGCAGGGCTGCATAAAACTGAGGAGAATCAGGATCAGATATTCAGCTGCTCTTGATGTGTTTTCTCTACCTAACATTCATGATGACAAGAATATAATCCACATGGTGGCCAGGTGGCATGAACTTTAAACCTTCCAGGTGTCCTTTTAACTAAGTCAAATAGCTTGTCAGTGTTTCCCATGAAAACTGCTCAAAGAAGGCATACAAAGAAACCTTTTTAGTTGAAACAAGCAAGGAAGACAGCTTTGAATTTTAGAGTTCACTTTTAGGGGTCAAAATATTGTGATAAAAGCATTTAGAAAGTAATTTGTGAAGTGAACCCAAGCCAAAGCACCTTCTTTGGGAAACAAGAAAAACACTGTTCTAACTTATTACTCAGGACAGATTGCTAAATGTTTTTAGTGTGACTGTAACAGATCCTTTGTCATTAGCAGACACATGTGCAGAGTATGAACAACTCGGCCTGGGAGATAATTACCAGGAATGGAAAACAGCACGGCCAAAAGCTGGTCCCTCTCTGCTGTATTGTATCACCCCTTCTGGGAGGCACAGGATGCAGTAATATCAACAAGTATTAAGCTAGGGCTTAATCTCAAGCCCCAGGCCCTGCCAGCTTCTGCATTGCTCTATAAATCATCCTCTCTTCTTAGCAGAGCTTGGTTGGGTATTAAGGATGTGTTTATATCTAAGCTTCAAAGTCAGCACTTGCTGATACAATTAACTAATCTACATCTCTCAAAGCTGAAGCTAGTTGTTTATTTTTAGGTAGAACTATTTTTCATCTGAAAGCGCTGATTTATCAAAACTGAAGTGTTTTATGGGAAGATGTTTTAGCAAAAATTGAATAGAGCTGTCTGCTGAGGAGGCATGTGTGAGAGAGAACCTGCCAGTTTGACTAAGCAAGGGGCAACAGCAACGGCAAGTTGAGATCCAGGCGTGTGTCTCCTTGCAAGCTGAGCTTCTCTGTTCTCAGTTTTTAAGTATCTCACTTCAGGGCTGGCAGGAGCCAGCAATGGGGAAATCCTCTGTGTTCAGCCCTGAGCTGCCCAGCTACCCCAAAAGTTGGTGTAGCAAGGCCTGGGGAATATGAGGGAACTTTGTGGAAAGGTAAAAGCTCAAAGAGATCGGGACTTTTGAAAACTGATTTCAAAATGTCTTTGCTGTGACAACTTGAGTTTTTAGTCTGCAAGAAAAGAAGCTTTTCTACATTCTCTCAGTGGAAAAGATCCTGTCTCTAGACAGACATCTGTATATCTGCAAATGTATGTATACAGCATTAGCTTCCCATTTCCTAAGGTGTCTCCACAGGGCTTCTTAAACCCTATCTATTTCAAACATGGAAATACAGGTTCTCAGACATACAGCAGCAGTCATGAACTAGCTGAATAGAAATCCCACATTGCAGTTAGGCTGCTTTATGAAACAAGTCTAAGAATGCATGCATTAGTAGATGCCATTATCAGGAATTTTGGGGTACATACACCCCCCTCTCCCACTCTCTCCAGCTTTGGGTTGCTACATTTAAGACTTGCAGTTGCACCTCATTGTACTTGCCTTTGGACAAAGCACAAACACAGCATCTGCTCGGTTCCCCTCAACAGTGACTCTGAAGATCTAGGGTCAGAAGCTGTGAAATAACTACTCTCAATTCCCTGAACAAGCTTGCTATTGAACTGACTCCTTTGTTCTTACCCAGGGAGAGTACTCATCTCTCTAATTTCCTTGGCAGCCAAACCACAACCTCCTACTATTCAACATACTCTGAAACTATAAAGCATTGGTTTGAATAGTGTTTTATAGTGAGGATTTATATAAAAGAAAAGAGACACTGACAAAGGCAACCTAAGCACTTGTCTACATAATTACACTACTATAATTATACTGCTAAGATAATACCTGTATAACTCACCAGGACGAGTGTCTTTTTTTTTTTTTTCGCCTGCAGCTCTACATCTCTTTTAAAGCAATATGATTATGTCAGTCTTGGGTAGACTACAGTAGACTACAGTATTGTGTTTGATAGGACTTGGAACTTTCAGTATTTAGGTACTCTGATCAGTGAAGAATGAATATTTGATTGATATAGGATGGATCAGTGCCTCCTCTCAGACTTGTCCTCCTGTCTCTACAAGTACTTTCCATAGTGTTCAGCCCAGTTTTGGTGTCTATACTCAAGAGGTCTCAGGACCTGGCCCCAGTTTATCTAGAGCATCCTATAATGTGCCAGGAGGAAAACTGCATTGAGTAACCTCAGAGAAGAGCAAAAAGTACCAGAAGAGGGCTGCTCACTTTCCTGAGGCTGCTGGCCATTGTTTTACTCTAACCTCATATTGCTTTCCCAGTCACCACACAGTCATACTGAAAAGCCTGCCACGATTATTGGCCATTCCTTGAAGTATGCTCGGAAATAGCATACACATTTTCATTCTCAGTTGGCCAAAATATGCTGGTTTGTACAGTGGCAAATTGGGAAGGAATGTGATAAAAGTGCACACGAAGAACTGTAGTTCCCAGCACATGCTCCTGGCTTCTGATAATCTGCAGTTTGTAAATGTTTAAAGACAGAGTTTATGTGGTATTGGTGTTTAAAATGAGCAGTATTGCTGTCTTTTTATAAGCCTGGAAGCCTGTTCGGAGAGGTGGAAGAGTATGTAGGGGTTCTTCACCTTTGGTCTAGATTTTGCTTCTTTAATAGGAATTAAAATTTCCATAGTCTGTGTCAGGCCATGAGATTCTTCTCCCAACCAGGATTTTGGAAAGCACTTATTCAGGAAACCTTATGGTCCTTAAAGGTTAATTATATATGGAATTTAATACTGTCATAGCAGGAGCTGGAATGAACCTCTTTAAAGTTCAAAGGTGAATTTGAGCTTTTATAACTTCCATTTCTCTTTCTAGTAAGTAAATGATACATTTTCATATTGCCCAAGATACTCTTACATCTGTGCAAGTGTTGTTACCACTGAGCTTTTACAGCTGAAATATAGTCAGTTGTATTTGTATGAATATTGTGTCAAATTTGGGATAATGAAACCACATTGAGATAATGAAACTGTTTCTTCATTTTCCTAATAGTGAAAAATATTTTACTCCCAAATTATAAAACAGTTGGGCATGTTTTCCTATAC